GGGCTTGTTTAACTGCCAGTTTTGCCTGTTGGAAAGCATCCTGTTCTGTTCTCCCCCAGTCCCATAGCTGCTCCTTTTTGTGAGTCTGTACAGTGGCCTTAGCAGCTGCACTAGGTGAGGTATAAAGGAACGCCAGTAACCCAGTATACCTAGAAACTTTGCAGCTGCTTCGATGTTGTAGGGACTGGGAACGCCTGAACCTTATCTATGACAGCACTGGGCAGTACTTGGGTCTTTCCTGACCAAACCACCCCCAGTAATTTTACGGACAGGCCCGGACCTTGCACCTTTTGGGGATTTATAGCCCATCCTCTCTGCTGTAAATAGGCGGTTAATGAATCTGCCGCCTGCCTTAATGCCTCCAGTGAGTCAGATGTCAGCAGATCATCACTATAATGATACAGGTTAACATCATCAGGTTTTCTCCAATCAGCCAGGTCACGCGCCACTGGATTGTGACGTTGGTGAATGCACGTACCCCTGTGGCAGGACCTGAAAGGTCCACTGCCTGCCTCCCCACGTAAACGCAAATTGATCTCGCGATTCCTCAGCAATTGGGATACTGAAGAACGCATTTGCTAAATCCAGGACACAATGATAGGTTTTTATCTCCCTACTCAACGTATCCATTAGGGAGGCAATATTGGGTACGGCTGCATGACCTTATTTAATTCTCTGTAATCGACTGTCATTCTCCATGTGCCATCCGACTCCCGCGCTGGCCATATGGGGGAATTATATGGGCTGTGTGCAGGTCTGATAATGCCCACTTTTTCTAATTCCTGCACCGTTCTTGATATTTCATCTTGCCCACCCGGGAGCCTATACTGTCTTACATTAGTAACCTGGCACGGTTTCAGCAGGCAAATAGGCCCATGTTTCGCATGGCCTCTTAATATTGCCTGCACCGCCCGGGTACGGATACATCTCTGTCCAAGTCTGAACTCTCCCACAGTTGTCTGGAGAGCCAGACCCCATAGAATATCTATGCCCAAGATGTACTCCTGGACTGGGGCAATAGATACCTTATACTCCCGGGGTTGGAGAGGCCCAACCCCCAGTTTCAACCATGTTTGGGTAACAGGAATAGTCTGTCCCCCAAAACCACCAATCATCACTCTGTCCCCATCAAATTCGGTTGGATCTCCGTAAACAATTGATGTTTCTGCTCCAGTGTCCACTAATGCCATAACTCTTTGAATATTTTTTCGGGACCAATAAATCATTAATTCTGCATAGGGCCTCTGGTCCATCTGGAGGCCCTAGGGGGACTAACATCCCTCATCACGCCATGAATTGAGCTATGGCCAATTCTTTTGGTTCGGTGGCTCAGGCATTGTAGCCTGAGACACCTGAGGCGGCTTTTTTTTGTATTCAGAACAATGAAATCTTCCAGGTTCCATGTCGTTGTTGGCATTCTCTCTCTAACCCTTACCCTTGGTTTCTTAGGGTAGGTCTGAAATTTTTGGTTGTCCTTTAATTGTCTCCAAAGTCGGAGAAGGATATGGTTGGGCTGGCAGTCGGAGAAGGATATGGTTGGGCTGGCAGTCAATCTTAGCAAATTGGACCCCAGCCCAAATTAAATCATTAAACATTTTTCTGGGGGAGACCCTTATGGGTCCCGATTGAGGAGCTTGAGTAGCTGGCATCTTGGTTTTAGTCACTGGCAGGACCTTGGCTTCTTCTAATGTCCGAATATTGCGCCTATTCTGCACGTGTTCTGTTTTTCCTAGGTCGGCCACTGACTGAGCAGCCTGCTGGACAACTGCTTCTGAGGCCACTAGGGGATTTAGTATAGAGACCAGAGTACTGTACAGATGGGAGGGGGCTTGTAGAATTAGGTCTCATCCCTGCTGAGAATTTGACCACGTCAGGGCCATCGAATGTGTCTTCATAAATTGCTTCCCTCACACCTAGTTCACGGATATGATTTTGAAGGTCCTCCATGGAGGACCACATCCCTGTATGTAAAGGAATATCAGATTTATTGGGCCATACCATACGGCAGGCCACCATTAACCATTCTATTATAGAATGGTTTTCATCAAGATATTGATTACCTGCCTATATCCTCTGCCTGAGAGCAGGATGGACAGTCATAGTGGCCAACTTGGCTATTTCCAGGCCATTCACCAGAACATTTCCTGCCCCAGAATCCCACAGTCTTAATAACCAAGCCGGCATACTTTCTCTAGGTTTCTGCCTAAATCGCTGTACTGAGTCCATCAGTGCTGTTGCCGTGTACGGCCGGGCTGTTACGTGCAAGTGAGTCTGGGCAGGGGGCCACTGATCAGGCGGCACCCCTGCCAGTCCATCCTGTACTTTTTTGCTTTCTGAGTTACAACAGGACGGACTCCTAGTGCATCTGTCAAAATCAGAGATTCGAGATCTTTTTGAGATTTTTATTTTCCTTGTGAACACAGGATGTCGATTCAGGAGCCTGGTCATTGTTTATTGAGATGTTACAAACTTGCCCTATCGGAAGATGTAGAATTGGTTTTTTCCTGTTAATGTACCAAGTTCCTGTTCTAACTTTTCAATACGATCTTTCAAAAGTTCATTTTCGTTCACTAAAGTATTATTCCTCATTTCAGCATTATTTAAAGCATTTAATAGTGGCCATGCCACCGTAGAAGCAGCTAATTGCCTTTCTCTTGTGACTAATATATCTTCGCCTAGTCCCTGAAAGTAATCTGCCAGGCAATATGGGGAGATGTTTCCCACAACACCTAGGGGACCCCCTTTTTCAGTGATAACTGCCAGTTCATAATAAGGGGATCCCACAGATTCTGGGATCTGCCCTGGAATTATTTTATCTAGGGGGGGTAGTATTCTCCCCCTTGAACCATTTATAGAAATTCCAGAGAAAGGACATGATGTAAATTTTAGTATATTCGGCTTGCCTGGCTCACCAAGTGTAGAATCAAAGAATATTAAGATAGCGTATAATCAAAGAATATTAAGATGTTATAATAATGAAATAAGCAAGAGTTAGGCAAAGCAAGACAAAGAGAATAGATAGGATGCTTACCCGTATCGTGGGCTCACTCAGGAAACTCCAGTAGAGTGGATCTTCAGAAGAGAGATCCTTCCTTACTGGTAGTGAGCTCTTAACTTGGTCTAGGAGAGGTGGAGCCAGGCTCCACCCCTTCCTGCAGCACAGGTGAATTGCTTTCACCTGTGCTCCCAGGGCTGACTCATTGCTCGCCTCAGGTGATCAATCAGAGGTTCAGGCCGTGACTCAGCAGTTCCCATACAACAGGTCAAAGCACAGTAGCACTGCCTGGCATCTGTGAAGCACAAAGGTGGTATCTCCTGCAGATGTGTAGGGTAAAGTGAGATGACTTGGGCTCCAGGTGGGTTGGTTACTAGTTCTGTATGGCGCTGGGCTGGCTGTGTGCCCCCAGTTGTTTATGTTCCTTTAACGTGACGTGTGTTCGTCTCCTTGCTGCCTGGTGGGCTTCAAAGTTAAAATTGAAGTCCAGCTTCCTACGCAGCATTAGCTGACTCTCCCCTTTGGCTTAAACACAGTCTTTGTCTGAGAGGGTGGAGGTTTTGCTCCCTGTGAATCTCAGCAGCTTCTCTCATTATAGAGCAGTGGAAGCCTCTGGACCCGGATGGGAAGAAGCAGTACGATCGGGAGTTCCTGCTGGACTTCCAGTTCATGCCTGCCTGCATCCAGAAGCCTGAAGGGCTGCCTCCCATCAGCGATGTGGTTCTCGACAAGGTGAGAGGAGAGCCCATCAAACAGGTGCGTGCAATCCCTTTGGTTTCGTGGTTTGTCTTGATGATTTCAGATCTCTGATGCATTCTTTCTCATTCACCTTTTTGGCAAAGACTTCTGTCAGGAAAGAGGAATACTTGGCTCGTGTCACATCACAAGATTTGTTGAGTAGTGAATGAGCACAGACAATTTAAATGTGAAGCACTGGTATTTTAAATGGTCTGTATCCTGGATTAAGTTACACTGGGTAGTTTTAAAATTGAAAATGCTGTCTTACAGCCATTAAGACCCAAGGATATTAGCAAAGCAAGAGCAAAAGGAGAGCTGTTGTCTTTTAAGAGTTCATTTCTACCACTAGGAAAGCATAGCCCTGCTTGTGGGCAAGCTGTTTTCATCTGAAACAGTTGTGTTGGTACGTATGAGCAGGTCTAATAAATGATGATTAATACCTTGGCTCTCAGAAAACTTTGTGATTGTAAGCAGCCTTATTACAGATGTGCTTTTCCCTCCTGTACATCTGTGCTTATTGAAGTACTCCTTAACTGGGAGGGCTGCTATCAGGAGCCTGTTCCCATCAAGAGCTGTGTAGTTTGGTGTAAGCACCACAGGCTCATTCTTAAGATTAAGCACAGTTCAGGGTGTAGGTGATTCTCACGTGTAGAAATGTTTCTACTCTGAATTTCATGCCCAGACAAATTGTGACACACAGCATTGTTCCCCAAATGATTTCATCCTCCCACTAGTTTTCCGTGCTGGCTTCTCACTGCTCTGTCTGCTCTTGGGCTGCTTGTGCTCGGCTAGCTGTCTGTTGTGTTATCACCACAGGGATTTGTTTGAGGGAAGGTGGCAGCTCTGGGATCCTGAAACAGGACTGCTGCATTCGTTGTGCACAGGACGGGCCTGTGCTGGCATAGTTTTATCTTCCTTAAATGATGTTCAGCTTTGAAATGTTTCTGAGCATCACGTATTTCCACAGTTGCCACCTGTGGAAGGCATTAAGTGTGCTTTTAGTGTGATGGGAGTGCATAAAGCTTGCCTGGTTTGTTAAAAGCATAATTTGGATGTTAAGTATGAATATTATGGTTTAGCAGAGACTGTAGAGCTGCAATAGCTGCAGCACCCACTGACGAAGCTGTGTTTGTCTGCTCTGCTCTGCAACGCAGGTCAACCAGCCCAAATTGCCACTGAGAACTCTGGACCCTCGGATACTGCCTCGAGGCCCAGACTTCACGCCAGCCTTCGCTGATTTTGGGAGGCAGCCTTCCGGTGGGAGAAACGTATCTGGAAGTGTGAGTTTTCCCCAGCTTGCTAATTTAACAACTGGTCTTGGCGCTCATGGAGTCCATCCTCACATGTTTGGACATTTTCCAGTACTCCAGTGGTTCTGGTTTTGTCTACCTTGAATGCAAGGGAGATACTTTCTTGGCTGTCAGAGTTTAGGAAAATAGGCAAAACACTGTGGATGTTTTTAATTGGTATATGGACTTAACATGGACTTGATCTCCTCCTGCCTCTTTTCCTTCTTGAGAGTGTGGAAATGTATTTCCATGCTGTGGATTTGTCAGTCCATGTGTGCAGATGCCTGTATCTCATACAACAATATGTTGGCATACTTTGGTCACTTCATTCCTCGTTTTTCTGCCTTTTCCTCTGCATTCTTTCCTTTGCCCTTTGCCTGGCTTTGCCCAAACCCTTCACCCTGATTCTGAATTCCTCCTTTCTGTCTGTGCTGTCATTATTCTAGGAGCTGCAGCCAGTTCGGAGCTGCCTCACGTGCCATCACTCATTTTCCATCTCTATCTATAAATACATTCAGGTTATCTACCTGGTTGCATCCAATAGTGTGTCCATCTCTTAACATTCAGAACCGCTGGTCCCAAGGACCTTCACTAAATAACTTTGACTTCTGAGTGTGCAAATTTCCAGATTTCGGAGCCGAGCCCAGTGGTCATGCTGCAGACTTTGAGTTGCTGTAATGTTTCTGGTTTGGGAGCAGTCTTTGGCTGGTTCCTCAGCGCTGGGCACACGTCCTTGTCTTCGAGTAGCTTCGATGTCGTGGTTTGTCTCAGAGCGTGGCACGGTCCCATGGCGGTGCTGCTCTTTGAGGTTGCCATCACTTGCCATGCTCAATGATGCTGCAGTGGGCTGCAGGTTGTGCCCGGCGCTGTCCGTCCTTTGTGTGGCACCTCGGTGACACCGCTGTTGCTCTTTCTCTTTTCACAGGCCTGCAAAGTGCAGAGCGGCCCTGGATTGCCGTCCCTGGCTCGGTGCGGTTCCCCAGCATGCCCTCTCTTGGTCTCGCCTCACCCACCATTGAGGAACCTGCCAATAGGGGTAAGCCACATCCCCCCTTCTTTCCCCATCTTTGCACCTTTTTGTAGAGTTTGTTTTTTTTTCCCGCATCGCCCGCTGTTGATAATGAACCACTGGCAGAAAGCTTTACAAAAAGGTGCAACACTGTTTTAAAAGAACAAAAAGAAAAAAAAAAAAAAGAAACAAGACTTGCATTGTACCCCTCTAGGCAGTCTTCAGTGGTGGGTGGGACAGCACCAGCTGAGGGCATGCTGGGACGTTGGCCTGAGCGGGATCTGCGAGGGGTCTGCACTTTGCAGACCTATGGAAAGGGGGAGAAAAGGTAAGTGCTGCTTGCCCCGTTCATTTGGAGCATCCTGCACATAACATACATCCTACATCTGTGCCTCAAAGGGCAGCGCCTCTCTTTGCATCTTCCCCAGGAGGGCCGGAAGGGGACGCTGCTTAATGAGCGGCTGTCCTTGCTGTGTTGGTGTGAAGGATGAGCGCTTTTTGGCCCACGCAGAGGCAGCCGTTGCCTCGTGGCGCATGGCAAAGCCCGCGTGCACGCTGTCTGCCCGCTCAGCCATCCTGCCTCTGCAGAGGCCATGCTCATAACGCCATCCCAGCCCACCGCCTGCTCCTTGCCCTCGAAATAACATCGAGCAGCTCCGTGCTAACAAGCTTATGGCACGTGTTATTTTGCTTCCCTGGCTTTGTCTTTCCCACTTCTTTTCCTTTAAATGTTTTGTGTGACTGTCTTCAGACCGTAACAAACATCAGTTCAGATGGGATCAGGAGTGCCGTCACACGGGAACAAAACACTTTTTTGCTGTAGGGAAGAAGGTAGAGGTAGAGCCGGGTGCCGTGGGGGAGGAGCTCAGTCCCTCAGCTGTGCTCATCCCCACTGGTGGTCTGGGCTCCCCACAGGGTGCTGCTGCTGGGAAGCTGCATTGCTGGGCTCTGTGCTCCCCGGAAGGGCGGCTGTTCCCAGCTCCCACCTGTCCCCAGGGGAGCAGCAGCTCCATAGTTTCTTGGATGCTGTTGCACCATTACCGCAGATGGAGAGCAGGAGGTGTGAGGCTTTGGCTACTCAGCAGGACTTGTGTCCGTGCCTCTGTCTGCTCTCCTTTTTGCCCCCGTTGATCTGGAGGACAGGTAACATCAGTTAACGAGCATTATCTACTAAGTGCTTCTCTGTGCCTTTGGCGGAAAATGTGGGTGCAGCACAAGCTGTAGTGCTGCAATCACAGGTGTTACGGCTCTGTTATTATCTATGGGGACTAGGCTTGACAGGAGGCCAGGTGTGAGCTCGGTGCCTCTTCCACTTGTTGCTTTGTAAATTTGGAACAAAAAATAGATAGCTCTTCCTGTTCAAAGTTTGTGATTTGTGCATTTCATCTCACATTCAAAGGAGGCCTCTGTTCACTTTTAAAACTTAATCCAGCACTCAGCTAGTTTGTCGCACTTACTAAAAAAAAAATCTTAAAGCCTTTGTTTTATTAATGCCTGTAGAGGTCTGGTGTCAGAGGCAGGCAGATTGGAGAGAGCTGTGAGAACAGCCTGCATCTCCCCCTGCAGCACACTGATGTTCTGCAAGGTACACCATCAGTTTGGAAAGATGCAATTAGTGCCTGCAGGGCAGCTGTGTGCTCAGGAGCTGCACCCTGTGGCTCAGTGGGAGAGACATGGGACAGCCGCCGCTTATCTCTCTTTTGGGGCAGAGATTGGCCCAAGCCTTTGTGCTCCCAGGGCACGTGGCCAGCTGGAGCCTTTTGTGGCCACAGAGGGGTGTAATGAGGTCTGGTGTGTCCGGCTGGTGGTGGCTGCTCGTCTGTTGCTTTTCTTGTCTGGTTTCTCGATGGGAAGAAAGCTTCCTTGTCCTGTGGCCTCCCATTTGTGGCGTGGTGTTTGTTTGGGCATTGCCCGTGGCTGCAGATGGCACCAAGTGGTGCAGACACAGAGCTGTGGGCATGGAAGGGGCTACAGGAACGACCCGAGGATGCTTTCTGTCTGAGTCCAAGGGGAGCCATGCTGCGTCATCATACTGCCGTGTTCTTGGAAGCTTGGTTTCTCCTGTGGCTTCGTTCCGATCACGGTGTGCACTTCAGGAAGCTTTGCACGGAGCCCCATGTCTGCATGGTGCAGTGAGACCTGGGCACATGCAGCCCTCTTCCATCCATGCCTACACAGCGTGTCACAGCACGAGGCCGTCGCCTTCCAACAGCATCCCATTTGCTCACATCTGCCTCGCCAAGCTGTGCGGATCAAATCACAGATAGGAGTGGGTGGGATTTTTATTTTCAGTTGTGCAAAAGTGAGTTCGGGGCCATTATATGGCATGTGAGGCAACATCTGAGGTCACTTCCCATGTGTATTCAGTGCAGCTGTTAGAATAACGGAGATGGTTGGGCCCCTGTAGCGCTGGCTCTGTCGCTTTGCTGAACAAAGATGTGTTTTAATGGTTTGCATGGAGCTTCCTGCTGGCCACTGAAGAGATTAATTACTTCTGTTGAAAAGAACGGGTTTTGATAATGGAATTTTACTGTGCTAATTTTTACATCGAGTTAAGAGGTTTCTAATAAATGAGTTTGGAAACACGAGCACTGCAGGGAAAAAATAGCCTCAGTACCACGTGTGATGAGTTTAGTCCTTACCAGTTCCCAGGCAATGGGTTTGTGGGCACAGCTGGTGGGAACCTCGCCACTGCTGGTGGCTCTCACCGATGTGGGGATGGGCAGTGTGTGTCACTTTCTCCTGTGAAGCTGCAGAGCTCAATCTGTAGCTGTTAGGATTTGTGTTTTCACAGTGCAGGAGCAGTACTGATGCTCTGTTCATTGCATTTGATATAATTCCTGTCCCAAAATGGCTCTCTTGTCTGAAGCATGCTCCATTAAGACTTAGAGTTTTGGCAGAGCTGCTGATTAATCACTGCCTAATTACTTGGGATGATGTATTTGAAATGCACTGGTAAGGATGTATCTAATCCTTTAGTACCTGTTTGCAGTGATTCCTCAGTGACAAGGTTCCTGTTTTCCACAGGGCCGGGCTCAGTCCCACAGTGCTTATGTAGCATCTGGGCACAGCTGAGGTGCAGAACGCAGCCCCATAGGCAGCATTTGGCCCCGTCTGTTTTGGGAAGGGCTGAGAGGTGTGCTCGGTGCACACCTGGTCCCTGCGAGCAGCTGCAGCACTGCGTGGTGCAGAGGGAGCCCTGAGCATCCCAGGACGTGCTGGTGACTGACCTGCTGCCTTCAGCACACTGCATTGCGCTCTGAGTGCTCTCGAGGCACGTGTTTAAAAGGGGATATAACAAGGAATGTTTTTGTCCTAGTTGTTGAATGTTGGACCGAGGAGATCTCAGCCGGGCCAGAGGAGGGAGCCCAGGAAGATTATCACTGTGTGTGTGAAGGAGGATGTCCACCTGAAGAAGGCAGAGAATGCCTGGAAGCCAAGCCTGAAGCGGGAGAACCAAACTGAGGACCCTGAAAATGTCAAAACCCAGGTGAGAATGTAGCCAGCACTGCTCCGAGCATGGCAAGGAAAGGAGATAGTTTGCCTTAGCTGTTGTGTAATGGCAATGAATTGCACTCTGAATTGCAGTTTTCCTCTACCTTTTTTTTTCATGTGTTTATTCTTGACTTAGAGTTTAAATAGTGAACACCAGACAACCTACTACCTCTCATCCAGGGTTGTTTTTCTAATATTGTCAAATGTTTCTGCTTCGTTCTAAAGCAAACAATCTCAAACTTCCAGCACAGAACTTGCTTTTCATCCCCTTTTAGACTGCATTTCTGTTCCAAGTATCAGCCACACTGAGCTTCCTCTGTGGGAATCCCCCAGCTCATGCTGCCCAGCTCAGCCACACTTTCTCTGAAGCTTTCTCTGTGTCCCTCTCCCCCTCCTTCCCTCCGTGGGGCAGCCACTGTAGGTGAGATATTTGCCTGGTGGTAAAGCTTCTAATTCCTAGGATAAGTGGAGATAGTCGTGGAAGATACTGAGATTCTGTCCTCGGGGCTAACAGGAGCTTTGTTGACCTAATTACCAACAAGATAGTTTTTTCCTTAATGTCTTAAATATGGAAAAAGTTGATTGCTTCTGGATGAGGGAGGAGATAACCATTCCCTGTTAATTTATGTTTTGTAGCTGAATTGATAATGAAGAATATTGTAGTTGGGTGACAGCAGAGCTTTGTGCCTCAGTTGTGCTTGAAAAGAAAGTGCTTGGATATTCCCAGAACCCCAGCACTGCAGCTGTGAGCTGTGACAGCCCATAGCTAGCTTAGGGCTGGAGCTGAAATGCACACAGATGAGTGTTGGTGTGTACCTCAACATTCTAGAAGTTCCTACAACACCTCTTCTCTATTCTCCTCAAAAATGCATCCTAGCTCGTTCCTAAAAGCCACTGTGTGCCTGTTTGGTTGGTGCTGCTTCTCAAGGCTTATCTGTTGTTTAGGAGCTGTTCCGCAAGGTACGAAGCATCTTGAACAAGCTGACTCCCCAGATGTTCAATCAGCTCATGAAGCAAGTCACAGACCTGACGGTAGATACTGAAGAGAGGCTAAAAGGAGTCATCGACCTGGTCTTTGAGAAGGCTATTGATGAGCCAAGCTTCTCAGTGGCATATGCAAACATGTGCAGGTGTCTTGTGACGGTAAGAGCTGCCCAAGGCTGGTGGGAATCATTCCTTGGGGAGAGTGTTCTGCAACTTATCCCCACGCACTGATGGGCAGTAATATAAGCATGGCAAGAGCAGCATTGAATGTTAATTTCTGAACTTGAAGAATTTACACTGCAGATTTCTTCCTCTCTGTTCATTGGCCATGGCAAGCTTTGCTTGGAGTGACACACTGTTTGGAGTGGAGGACACCGAGCACTTTGCTGTGCCTGGCCGTGAGATGCTATGAATCATGTTTAGAAAGTCTGTTTTCTCCCTCTCATTTGGAAGGGGAACCCAAGGTGCAGAGCCAGGCTAGCTTTGCTGACTTTGGGACAAACCAGCCTGTCTTCCCGCAGCGATGATTTCCATGGCATGCCATGAAGGAGCGTGGCCCCAAGGTCTTCGATGTGCAATAGCAGTGTTTTTAAGCTGTGAGACTTTTTAAAGGATTTAGTGAATGGAAATGTAATCTGTCTCCAGGCAGAGGTGGTGTCAGCCAGATTTTGAGTGTGACTTTCCACATGGAATCTGAAACTGCTGGAAATCATGGCGTGGTGCTTAATGGTCACGGCTGTGCAAAGTCGCGCTGCTGAATGCGAAGTACATAATAAAATGTAATGGGTGGCTTATGGCAAATCTCGTTTGTGTGTGGACTTTGTCTGTATTTCTGTTGATGTTTTGCTTCCTCTTCCTGCAGCTGAAAGTGCCCATGGCAGACAAACCTGGGAGCACAGTAAATTTCCGCAAGTTGCTGTTAAATCGCTGCCAGAAGGAATTTGAAAAGGACAAGGCTGACGACGATGTCTTTGAAAAGAAGCAGAAAGAACTTGAAGCTGCTACCACTGTAAGTGGAATATTTCCTCACAGACACTCAAGAGAGCCCTCAGAAAATGATCTCTTTTGAAGGCTGCGGCCAATTTGGGGGAAATAGCAGAGTAGTTTCATTCTGTTGCTGTGGTTGAATGTAATAAATATTTGCCTTGATGAGCATTAAGAGCAGCTGCTTTTTGGCTCTTAGGAGAAAAAGAGTAAACAGGAACAGCAGCAACTGTGATTGTAAAACTGGCTCTTTTGAAGAGTTCTGTGCTCTTTGAACATGCTTCTTAGAGCTGCTTTTCTGTTTTACAGCCAGAAGAGAAGACACGGCTCCATGACGAGCTGGAAGAGGCCAAGGACAAAGCCCGGCGGAGATCCATTGGGAATATAAAATTCATTGGCGAGCTTTTCAAACTGAAAATGCTGACGGAGGCGATCATGCATGACTGTGTGGTAAAGCTGCTAAAAAACCACGATGAGGAGTCCCTCGAGTGCCTTTGCCGCTTGCTGACTACCATTGGCAAGGACCTGGACTTTGAGAAAGCAAAGGTAGGGCAGGGCCAGGAGCAAGAGATGAGACTGCTTGGGCAGGGGTGGAAAAATGGGTGTAGGGTGTTTTTGTTTGAGGACCTTTTTTTCCTCTGTATTTTTTTTGTACGGCACGAGGAAATCATCTACTTGTCTGTGCACGTTTCGTCACCACCTGGCCTTGCTCCCGCCTCCTACCCCTGTCTCATAGATTCTGTGCCGTTTGCAAAGCTTATTTTCAGTTGCAATTTGTTCCCAAGCATTTCATCCAAGTTCACATTCTTAAAGTGCTCAGTGTGTCCTGCAGGTTCCTAAAACATTAAGTTGTTTCTAAAACATGAAACTGGTTTCATTTTCATGGAGGGTTTATAGAAATCTACCATTAAATGTACTGTTTTGGGTTACATTTAAAAAAAACAAACCTTGTGAGCTGCCCAAACCCCCAAACCTGAAACTTGGCGAGTGCGTTCATTCTGTGTCATCATCTCCAGCTGTGCTGAAATGAAGCAGCTGTTTTGCAACTGCACTGCTCCAGTGTCCTCCTGCTGACTTTCCAACAAATGTATATGTAACAGGGAGCATCGTGCACTCCATGAGCTCCTATTTGTGCAGGCAATCTGCTTCTCCTTTGCAAAAGCTGGGGATGAAAAAGCACTGAAGGCTTTTGCCAGAAATCAGTCAGACTCAGCCCTGGAAACGAATGGAGCTAATTGCTTTCAGCTGCTCTGCAGAGGGAGGAGTACCCTTACAGTGCTGGATTGCAGCGAGTCAGTCCTGATCCACACAGGGACTCCTTGGAGAAGCATTTTCCCAAACTGTTCCGTGGGGCATGGCCTGAAGCAGTGTAGTTTGCTGTGTATCCCCCAGACTGAATACCCTGCATCATGAAATAGAGGTGTGTGCACTGTTGGTGCAGGTTTGAAAGTGCCAAAAAGAGGGATTTAAATTTCTCCAGTTGCTTTGGGAAGAAAACAGGGTCTGACTTCTGAGCAGTAGCTGAGGTCATGCTGGATGAATCCTGAACACTGTTTCAGCCCTTGTTAGCATGGAACAATGCTAACAAGGTAAATATTAGCATAACATTGGCCTTGGTGTGCAGCCCTTGTGTCCTGTCCTGGCGGTTGTTCTATCAGGATTGAGTGAGAATCCCTCATTTCATGGAGGAGATGCTGTGTAATGTATTGCTGTTGAAGCTGAAGTGGCAGTGAGTTATTATTAAAGTTTCTGAGAGAAGTCCACTTCAGATATTTTTCCCATTATTCATGCCTTTGGAAACCTTTGCTCATATGGCTGAAACTTTCCAGAGCAAGGCTGGAACCAAATTTTAGTTTATGTAGATGTGAGGGAAAGGACTTAGCAGATTCTTAATGAGGGGAAGGAGAAACATTTTATAAAACTGCCCTTAAACATTTTAAAACAGCTGCAGCTACCATAGAGGGGCAGAAGGTTTTGTGGAGCCTGGCAGGCCAAGTCTAGACTTAGTGAAGGCTTTCCAATGACACCACTTCATTTTGGTGAAGATCTGGCTTTTTTGCTTCGTGACTTTCTGGAAGAAAAGCCATAAGATGGTATGGAACTCTTGTGAGATTTGGAACTACAGCTCCGCTTATGAAACAGCTTCATGTTGTGCATCTGCTCTCTTTTGCCTTTTGACCCCAACTGGGACAGGTTGGGGAGGTGAAGCAGCAGAACAGTGCAGGGTGCAGGGGTTTTGTGCCCAAGCACACCCCAAGGAGAAGGCTGGGTCCCAACTGTGCTGCTGGCACAGAGCTGCTGCAATCCAGAACCCACTGCCTCCCAACAGAGTGTTTTCATTTTCTTCCAAAATACACTGATGATGTTTCTCTTGTATAGCCTCGCATGGACCAGTATTTTAATCAGATGGAGAAAATTGTGAAAGAGAGGAAAACGTCTTCAAGGATTCGGTTCATGCTGCAGGATGTAATAGACCTAAGGCTGGTAGGTACCAACCCAACAAGTAACAGAGCACAGTCCCTTGCTGGAACTGCCCTCACATGAGATCGGGCAATGCAGTATTTACAGGGTGAGATTTGTACCCTTTGTCATTTCAAAAGTTGGGCAGTGAGGGTTGTCTTCTGGTTTTGTCTCACTAAAGGGCAGGGCTGGCAGACAGGTGTACTGCTTTACTAATAGTGGCTGTTCTGGTTAAGCTAACTAAGCTGCAGAAATGACAAACTGGAGACCGCTTGGTGCAGGCGCGGTGCAAACAGGGATCTGCCCCTGTTGTAATCAAGTGAGGGTTTTGAACAGAGCCAAAGTGTTAGACCTGGACTCTCAGTGAAGAGGGCTTCTCAGCATAGGGTTTGCAATACCAGGTTGCTTAGGAGGGCGTCCAGGTGAGTCTTGAATATCTTCAGAGAAGGAGATTCCACCACCTCTCTGGGCAGCCTGTTCCAGGGCTCTGTCACTTCTGTATTTTCAGATTTTTTCCTCAGCTTGGAGGAAGGGCTCCAATGAATGCTGACAGTAGTAAGCAGAGAGAGAACCACAGCACCCTCCCTCTAGTCCATCTCTTTCTCTTAACCTAGAAAGACTGGAAAACTAGAAATGTTCAAGATGCTAGGGGTTAAAATGTATGGAATTCAGTCATATCTCCTCACAGTCAGGTCTTCACTGCAGCCTTCAATCCAATAGGATTTACAGCCAGTGTGTCGGAGTGTGCAGCTCTGACCTTGGTGCTGGGATGCCATGTCAGCAGCGTGACCCAACTCCACAGAACTTCCCACAGTTTCTTGGAGTGCAGCCTCACTAACATGTCACAAGGTTTAGGGAGGTTTAGGCCTCCTTCAGTGTGCTCAAAATAACCCATTTGTGATGCTCCACTCCCAGAAATGTCATGAGCACAATTGTTTCTCTCTCAGTGCAACTGGGTTTCACGGAGAGCAGACCAAGGCCCGAAGACCATTGAGCAGATTCATAAAGAAGCCAAAATAGAAGAGCAGGAAGAACAGAGGAAGGTCCAACAACTCATGACCAAAGAGAAGAGAAGACCAGGTAAAATAAAAGTCAGGTTTCTCACTCCACTCATTTCACATCCAGTGATCATGGTCAGAATCGTATAGAAGTCTTTTTTTTTTTCTCCAAAATGCAACAAGCAAAGGGATTTGGGGCCATATCTGGCTGAGGCTGGGAGAGGAACAGGCGCACTGGGGATTGGTTGTGTTTTGGTCAGCTCCCTTGGAAAGAAATAAACATCACAGGCTAGTAGTGCTTGGGTTTCATGTACATGTAAGCCATGCCAGAAATCTGTTCTAACAAGTTCCTATCCAGGAGCTAGACTTGGCATCCATTTTTGTGTACAGCAGCATTTAATTTCAAAAGAACAGCATCTGATTTCAAGAGTAACCATGTTGTCTTTAGCAGTTAAAGTTGTGAGGTGTTAACTCTGCGTGAGAAAGTGTTTTAGCATCACCTTAAGTTGCTACCAGCCCTTGGAGTTGATACTACCCAAAGATGAATGTAAAGTGATTGATGCTTTTAGAGGTGTGGGATCAAAGCAGGCAAACCTGCTTGGTTTCTGAGGCATTGTGGTCCCTTCTTAAAACCAGAGCATAAAGAAAGTGCACACAAACTTTGTTTCCATTAGCCTGAAATTGTTGTCAGTAGAAGGTAGGGAACTGCTTGGATGGTTCTGCACTTCGACTGTCTCTGGCACTGCTGAAATCTGTGCAATGAATGCAGGCTTTGGTTAGCCAAGGCATTGCTCCTTTGTTGAGCTTGTTAACACACAGTATGTGCAGCCATACTGAAGCAGAATGAGACCAAACTGAGAAATTGTTCTGTAAACAGGAACCTGCCTTGAAAAATACTGTTTTTTTTGTTTTTCTTTTTTTAATGTTATGACTGTTTTTTAACAGTGGCAAGGCAGACTTAGATGTTGTGTTAATCCAAAGAAACGTTCTGAAGGAGGTGATTTCTGCACAGCACTGTGGTCAGGCTCAGCAGAAACATGCCAGCTTCTTTTCCTCCTTGTGAACTGGGAGATGATCACACACAGTCTTCTGGGGCACCACAGGGCCAGCAGAGACGAGCTGAAGGCAGTGTGTTTGTTGTTTGCAGGTGTCCAGCGGGTTGATGAAGGCGGATGGAACACTGTGCAGGGGACAAAGAACAGCAGAGTGCTGGACCCTACCAAGTTCCTTAAAATCACCAAGGTAGGTGACAGCACGGGGCTCATTCAGAGCAACAAGGTGCCAGGTCTTACCTGGTTGCATTTGTTTGTCTCACCAAGAGGAATTCTGACATAAGTGGGTGTTTCCCAGTTGTTCCTGTGTTAGTGGCCCTGTGCCTGAGTTTTGCCCTCAGTGTTCGAATATTCAGAGAATAATAAAGCAGAATCTGACAGACTTCAGTCCTGCAGATCAAGCTCAGTTTGTTTCTTGTGGAAGTCAAAAAACAGCCTCCAGAACTTAATTTACCAGAGAGATTCAGCCCGCTTTTATCTGGGCTTACAGCTCACCTGGGAAAAGTCCTTCTGCTGTGTTTAATGCAAGTGCAGTACAAATAGACCAAGGTCCACAACTGCTGCGTTGTTGGAAGGTGAGAAGAGTTCACACAAAGAGATCTTCAGGATCCTGACCTCTTCATCAATAAATCCACTTACTGAGCACTGTAAAATCAATGTTCTCTTCTTGTCAAACACCGCTGTTCCCTCCAAATTCTGCAGCCCACTGTTGTTCTTTGCCCTTTAAATCCTATTGCTGTGCAGATTCACCCCAGGGCCATTCCTGGTACGTGGAGTGGACTGTAAAGCTGTTTTACTCATCACAACAAACTGAATATCTTCCAAGAATTGATATGTGGTACTTTTTCCTCCTTGAGGAACTTTGTAATTTCTAATGAAATAAAGCTCATGGTCATTGTGAACATCTTTCACTGACACTTTGGATGAGGCTGTTTGTAATGAGCTTTGTTGGTTGCATCCTCTGTTCTTGGCTAGAGATTAGTCTTCCAAAAATACGTTTAAGTGTGTTATAGTATTCACAAGGTGGACGCTTTCACAAAGTAAATACTTTGTTTATAAATAAGAAGCAAACTGTTCTCCTGTAACCATATATCCTGATGTGTTTTACAGCCCACAATAGATGAGAAGATTCAGCTTGTGCCTAAAGCCCAGTTGGGCAGCTGGGGAAAGGGCAGCAGTGGTGGAGCAAAGGCAAGCGAGATGGGTAAGTAGGGACACATCATCACCTCTGAGTTGCTTCCAGCTCTCGGAGAACACCTTCAGAATCACAGAATGGTTGGGTTGAAGGGGACCTTAAAGATCATCTAGTTCCAACCTCTGCCATGGGCTGTCTACCCCCCACCAGCTCAGGCTGCCCAGGGCACCATCCAACCTGGCCTTGAGCACCTCCAGGGATGGGGCACCCATACTTCTCTGGGCAGCAGTACCAGGGCCTCACCGCCTGCTGAGTGAAAAATTTCCCCCTGACATCTGACCTAAATCCCCCCTCTTATTTGAAAACTTTCTTCCTTGTCCTGTCATCATTCTTGCCAGGAGCGGATTTGGTGGGAGCAGACACAAATGCATTCCCTAAATTGTGGTGTATTGCAGTGGTAACATGACAGTGATCCCCCTCAGTAGGACCGTCCATGGTTTGAGGTGGGATTCAGCTGTCATAGAATCTTAGTATCATAGAATCACCAAGATTGGAAAAGGCCTCCAAGACCATACAGTCCAACCATGCATCTCCCACCAGTGTTTTCCCACTAAACCCTCCCTCAGTATGACATCTAAACATTTCTTAAGCATTTCTTAAACACTTCCAGGGATGGTGCTTCAGCTGCTTCCTTGGGCAGCCCATCCCAGCACCTGACCACTCTTTCACAGAGAAGAATTTTTTCCTAACATCCAACCCGAACATCCCCTGGTGTAACTTTGCCTCTCGTCCTCTCACTAGTTAGGTGAGAGCACAGGCCAACCCCACCTCACCACAACCTCCTTTCTGAAGTTGTAGAGAGTGATGAGCTCTCCCCTGACCCTCCTCTTCTCCAGACTGACCCATCCCAGCTCCCTCAGCCGCTTCCCATAGTACTGTGCACCAGATCCCTCACAGCTCCATTCCCTCAGCTCCAACACTGACTGTGACCGGCCACTAGCTGGATGTAACTCCATTCACCACCACTCTTTGGGCCCTCAGCCAGTTCTTTATCCAGCAAAGAGTGCACCTCTCCCAGCCATGGGCTGCAGCTTCCCCAGGAGAATGCTGTGGGAGGCAATCAGGAGCTTTGCTGAACTCTAGATAGACTACATCAGCAGCCTTTTTCTCATCTATCAGGCAGGTCGCTCTACCATAGAAGGTTGGTCAGGTAGGACCTGCCTTTCATGAACCCATGTTGTGCAGCCCCAATCCCCCAGCTGTCCCACACATGCCATGTGATCTCCTTCAAGATAACTGTCCATTTAGCTCAGAAGAGGAAAACGTGCTGCAGTAGGGTCTGATGTTGAATGATGCAAGGGAGATGTTCACAGGGGCTCCGAGTTGAGCACAGCTCAGGATGCCTGTGCTGATCTTGTCACAGCAGGAGTTTCTTACAGCCTCTCCTCTGTCCAGCTTCAAAGCAGGGGAGGAACTGGTGACATAGTGGGTTAGCACCTGCGCCCCTCTGAGTGCAGTGCTGCTTGTGACAAATAGCACAATCTCCTTGTTTCTCATCCTGAGAGAAGAATCTCTCCTATTACTTTATTTATTTGTTTGTTTCTTTAGGGTGGGAGTGTTGATTTGGTTTGTTTTCTAAACAATCAGATGGAGGAGGCTCCACGAGCACTAATTAACACTAAGCAGGTTTGTCCCTCTGCTTTGCCTCCAAAGACAAAGAACAAATGGAGCAGGAGCAGCCTTTTCCCACTGGTTCCTTCCCCATTGCTCTGAAGACAGCAACTGCTTAAATGCCTTTGTGATGCTGAGGTGTTGGCAGCTACTGACTTTGCTGTTCTTCTTCCCCGTGTTGTCTTTGTGGTCTCCCAGACTCCCTACGACCAAGTGCCACTAGTTTGAACAGATTTTCCGCGCTGCAGCCTCCAGTCTCATCTGTATCTGCCTCATCTGCATCCTCAGAACTAGATACTCGCAGGGCCTTAACGAGGTAAGGTTTGTTCTGCCAGTGAGTTTTCCCTTCTGCTCTCTGTATGCTTGCTCTTTCACTCACTGCTCTAGTTTCTGGAAGAATGAAAACAATGAGAATTTCATGGAGCTTCCAGGAATGGCAGGGTCATTTTCCCCCCCATATTTTCAGGTGTACTTTGAGCTGACTTAAAATTCATATTTCATAGTATTATACGAGAGCCAACTGGTATTAAAGGACTTACGAATGTTTTAGCTTCCACTTTGCAGTCACCCTTTCTAAAGGACACGTGTGTGAGCGGTTCATAATGCATTCAGGGACGTTCAGACAAAACACAAGACTTGAAAGCAGTGATCATGTGTTCAGCCAGGTCACTGGATTTGTTGATTCAACAAACGTGCTTAAAGCCTTGCCCAAATGTAGCAAGGCTCTTAGAGCTCTCTGGCTGTCCCTGGCCCCTTCCCATGTGACCAAGCCTGCCCTTGTCTCTGCCTCATGCATACACGAGACCATGCAGTTCTCACACATCTGATTACAGCAGGACTGCAGCCACTCCAGCCTGTAGCATGGAACATGAATTAATCCTTAATAATTTACTACCTTGGGACATACTTTGTAAATGTGTGGTTCATTTGAAGTCATTAGTTCTTCCTTGCAGTGCACACCAGCTAGCATGCTGTTGTGTTGATTCCTCACTCGCATTCCCTCCTCCTTCACATACAGCTCTCATCACCTGGAGGCTGTTCCGTTTTGGCTCTGTTTGAGATTCTTTTTCAATAAATGAGTAGAAATGCAGCACTACCTTACAGTCAAACAGTGCCTTTACATCACAGACTTCACCACTGTGCTTTTAAAATGGGTGCTGTAATGACTTCGGTGCTTTCCCACGTGTTCTCTGGCTCCATGTGCGCTGGGTGTGTTCATGTGTTTCTGAGACTTGTGATTATAGTCAGTGGTGCTACAGCTGTGAAAAGTTGAGACAGCAGTCCTGCTGGGCTGAGGATCTGTCATTACCAGGACTGCGAACTGGGGTTACTGATACTGTACCTTCAAGTGCATGTGGTTTTGTTCTGCAGTCGCGGGAGCACGGGCAGGGAGAAGAACGATAAACCTCTCCCACCTTCCCTGTCCCGCCCCAACACCTTCCTCCGGGGCAGCAGCAGTAAGGAGCTGCTGCTCGACAATCAGGCGCAGGAGGAGCAGAGGAGAGAGATGCTGGAGACGGTGAAGCAGCTGACAGGCGGCATGGAGATGGACAGGAACAGCACAGAGGCAGAGAGGAGCAAAGCCAAGGAGTCTGGTAAGCGGCTCTTCCGTACTCAGGGAATCTTCCTGAATGCATGGAAAGGCTCATGGGAAAATTCATAAGTAGAAGTGACGGGTGTCTGTGCTGTGGTGTGAATATTTGGTCCACAGTGATATGCTGTTGAGCAGTGATAGCTAAGAACCTCCCAGAGGTTTGTAACTCAACTGGTGCATACAGGCTTTAGCGTCATCTTCTGCCATCAGCTTCTCTTTTTGCCTTTGCATTTGTTGGTTGTTCATCCCCAGCTGGTTACAGAATTGGCACAACCAGAGTATAACCAAGCACAGGTCCAGCCCACAGGCACTCCCTAGGGTGTAGGCTCCTCTCCAGGCCAGAGCAGAGGAGGGAACTGGTTGTTCCCAAGGCAGAATCCCCAGATGGAGCTTTTAGCTCTGCTCATTGTCAGCCCTGGTTCCATGCAGGGCCCAGCGCAGCATGGTGCTAGCACCCACTGGGGCGACCTGTCACCTTGTCAGAGCTGCAGCTTCCTTTTTTGGATCCTGATTTTCTAGCGAGGATGTATTGAGAACATATAGGACAGCAATCCCTGTGGACATGGCTTTTGCATTAAGTACTGGGTTTTGCTTCTTGCATGGAAAGCATCCAGAAACTGCTATTGCAGTAGGAATTGTGAGGAGTACATCTTGACCCCCACAAAACAGCACACGCTCGCTGCTCTGGAAGGTTTGAGGGTTTATGGGTGTTACTCACAGTATGTTTTGAAGGTACAGCATACCCTCAGAACTGCTGTAACAGCTTAAAGTTTAATTATTTAATGCAGGTAGAGTGCTTTGTAGGTGCTGCATCCCACATCACTACATAGTTTCCTTGCAGAAAGGTTGATTTACAGAGTTGCTGGGTATTTGTAGAGGGGAGAATGTAACCAAGGAGGAAGTGATGCATGCCTTATGGCGAGCCAGGAAGCACACCCTGCACAGCCCTCACATTCCTGCTTGCAAACCATCTTTGTTTTGGTTATCACAGTAAAGATTGCTGTGGACTGTGGCTGGCCAACCAGCAGAGTTGGCTCTGTGACTTCAAACTGTCATTTTTGGAAATGGTTCTGATTTTCCTTTCCCAAATGCTATTTCTCTGCTTTCACCAGCCAAGCCAGAAGCTCCCCCAGCTCCAGTTCAAGAGAAGTCTTCGTTATCAGAAGAGGAAATTGAGAGAAAATGCAAATCTATCGTTGATGAGTTCTTGCATATTAATGATTTTAAGGTGAGCAACGTGAGATCCTTGCTTAGCAGAAAGGTCTGCAGCTGTGGGGCCTGAGGATGTTTCTCTGCAGAAACAATGGTACCCAGTTCTCCCACGGGTCACAGCAGCAGTGGGACCTTGTGAGGTTTGGGTGGCAGCAGCTCCATGGGTGTTTTCTGCCTTACTAGAAGCAGGGAAAGTGGGACAGTTTGTGTGTTGTAAGCAGCAAGATGTATGTGTATCTGTCACAAATCACTGAGCAGCTCCATTATAACAGCAATTTTGGAAGCAGAAAAGCTAGTGGGAAAATCAAGTGAGGTTTTCATTTAGTTATCAAAGCATGTGCTGTTCTGATCTGGAGGCAGATAAAGCAATACTAAATATTGAACAAACCACTCCAGAGTATTTTTAATAAACATTGAAGATTACTGAGCAGCTGTCATCACTTCCTAGTTAAAGGTTGCAATTTTGTTTCCTATGTAAATGGATTTTTAGCCTGTCCAGGGAGTTTGCAGGAAGGGGTACATTTGCTGCAGAGCTGATTGGTTTGATCTTTTGCTGAGATAAAATTTAAAAACATGCAAAGTTTGAAATGACAGTGCTTGAATTTCATGGTGCTTCTAATTAAAATCAGAATGGGAGTATCCTTATGATGACTTGTTTGGGGTTCACACATGTACATCTGGTTCAAAAGTACATCAGATTGAGGCAGCTCGTTTGCAGTTACTTGATAACTTTGAATTCTCAGCACCCTTCAAATGTGGTGACAAAGTTTCTGACAAATGCAGCTTTGTCTCACATTAATAGGCCAGCTCTTGTGCTAATGGAACACTTGGCTAAGGATTAGAGCTATGGCAGTCTATATCTAAGAGTGTTTTATTTTCATAAGTTGCAAAATATACATGCCAGAAAGTGGAAGCTTTATACAGAGGAAATTTCCCTCTTAACATTACCCATGTTTTCTGCTTTTTTGTAGTGTGTTGCTGTAACATAAAGCATTTCTGTTCAACCAGCCCAGTTAGTTGTGAAGCTAACCTGACGTCCTCTTTTGGACTTGGCTTGATATGTTATGGAATAGTGGGGATTTTGGTAACATCCAGAACAACTTCTGTCCCTACACTTAGCTGCCAAGCAGTGCTCTGTAGCATGAGTGTGTATTTTAAAAATTCTGTTGCTTGCATGGTATAATTTTGATCTTTTTTTGATTCCTGATTGCAATTTTGGTGGTGATTTGTGAGGAGGTTCCACAGCCTGATTTGGCTTCACTCTTTGTTTATTTCTGAAGTAAAACTGAAAGGCAGTGATGTTCTGAGCTGCCATCAGAACGACCCCCGTGCCATGTGCCAGCTGCTGAGCAGCAGACGTCCTCCTATGCTGTTTTTTGTTTCGTTTTGGCACCTTTTGATGCTTGCAGTTCAGGCAGATGACCCTGCGTGTCGTTCAAAACAGGAAGCAATGCAGTGCGTGGAGGAGCTGAGCGCCCAGAGCCTGCTGCCTGTGTTTGTGCAAGTGGGAGTGGAGTCAACGCTGGAGAGGAGTCAGATCACCAGGGATCACATGGGCCAGTTATTACATCAGTTGGTGCAGTCAGGAAAGCTGAGCAAGCAGGATTTCTTCAAGGGGTTTGTATTCTGCACATAGAAACCGATGCTTTTCTTGAGTGTTCAGTGCGGCTGAGCACTATTTGTGTTGGAGAGGAATGATTTCACTTTGTGTTGGCATCCTACCCTCACCACACATCCTTTTGGGAGGAGCATTTCCACCTGGGTGTGCTTACAAGTAATACCAATATTTTAGCACATTTTTAATTATTTCAAATGCTTTTAATGAATGTAAATATTTTTGTATTTATATGTTTATTTTTAATACATAGGTGTACATTTAAATGTGTGTTCAGATTTCTGCTTTGCAGTGTATTTGTCAGTGTTTGCCTTTTGGCAAGCCACTGAATTAAAAGGGGAGGAGGAAGATAAAAACTTGATGTGACATTGGTGCCTGGCCAGATATGGTATCAGACAGAATAGACTTTCCTCAGATAACTGCTTCAGGCCACCAGCTCATTTCATCTCCCAGATAGTAACTGCCTCTAGATCTGGTGTTTCTAGCCTGGATTTGAATGTTAACCAGTTGCAAAAGGATCAGTGTTCCCAGAGCTCACCCGGGTACCAGCTTGTCCTTGGTGAGGTTTAGAGCAGGATAATTAACATGGATAACCATGACAAGCAGCTGGAGAACAGGTAGATAAAATAATGCTCTCAGATGCTACATTTCTATGTATTTAACCCTGTCTTGCTGCTTTGGTTTGAATCACATCTCATCATGGTGCTGACACAGCAGCAGTGTTCCCTCTGCACTCATGTCTGGCAGTGAATTTTGTCATGATGAAATTGAGTGGCTCATAGGAGAAGTTTAGGCAGCCTAAGTTCAAACCATGTGGAGCAGCAGTAAGAAAATTCGTGTACAGGAAGTACATGTGTCCATGTCCATGCAGTAACTGATGGCTGAGATGTCTGCTGTGATACATTTCTGTAATGGATTGTGATTAGAGCCATTCCTGCGCTTCCTTGGGTGCAGAGAAGCAGTTGTGATGCCAGCAGTTGTGATCATGTTGAAATGGTGGGATGTGTGGTTTGGAAACAGCGCAAACAGAGCAGAACAGCTCCTGAGGATGATGAAAAGGCAACTGCCCTTTGTGGTTTCCAGTGGGCACATGAGAAGAACACTGAAAACCACTACACTGATTGACACACGACAATTACTGCGTAATTAGGGGTTATGGGGTGAGCGGTGGTCATAGCACAGGTCTAGGGAGAGATAACAGGAAACCAGTTACTGGCCCAAGTGCTTGAATAAACCAGAGCTGAATTAGTGGCAGAGGACATGAGGAACAAAGCAAAGGAGACAGTCCCTGCTTAGAAGTTGAACCCCAGAATGTTAAAGCTTTTAATAGAGAAGCGAACCATGATTAAAATAGGCAGGAGAAGCAGAAAAATGATCATCTTGATCCTGATACAGGCTTTCCAAGCCTGATACAAGTATCAGGCTTGGAAAGTGGAGCCACCTACCAGGCTTTTATCAGGAAAAAGAGTTTTGAGCTATGCTGGAAATTGTATCCAGAACTGGGAAACAGTTTTGTAACTCAGCTTGCTACATTTTCTGTTCTGGATGTCTGTTCTTAAGCAGGTCTAAGCAAATAGCTTGTGGGGGAAGAAGCCAGCCCCTTATCCTTCTGTAAATGCCGGGTTTTTTTAAGAAGGTTCCATTTATTTGAACTTGTAAATGTGAAAAGAACTTTTATTTGTGAAGTTTTACTAGTTAGCAAACATGTTCCTGGGATATAAAAACTACTGTCCATGGAGCTTTTCTGGATGCATCATTCCTAGCCGCTGGTTTTACACAAGGCAATGCTCTTTCCACATTACTGCCTGAAGAAATCAGCCCCTGGAGATACGAAGCATTTGCAAGCATAAGATGTCAGATGTGTTCATTGTTATCTTTGTGGTCTGCTTTTATTTTTAACAGAGAGTTTTTAAAAAGCTGATTTACTTTGCAGGAAAAGTCTCAGTTTGAGTTGTATTTAATGCCTGACGTTTTTTTTTTCTTTTAAGGTTTTCAGATACCTTGGAGATGGCAGATGATATGGCCATAGATATACCCCATATATGGTTGTACCTAGCTGAGCTGGTGACCCCCATGTTAAAAGAAGGAGGAATCTCTATGAGAGAACTTATACAGTAAGCAGTGCTGTTTTTTTTCAGTGACGGCCGAGCTCCAGCTGTCTGCCTGGTTGTGCCACATTTCCACAGCATGGTTCTTATTGGTAGATAGAAGACAGACCATGTTAGAGGTGCACCTTCTCCTATTAGCTGCTGCATACCCTTTGGACTTCGGATTTGCACCAAAAGCTGGGGTGGGGAGCTTGCTGCTCTTCAGTCGTGGTTCAAGGATGAAAGTTTTATCTGTGAATATATTTCAGTCTTGTTTACTCTGGCTGAACTAGTAGCTAACCTGATGCTGCACAGTCAGTGCCATTCAGAAGCACACTGATGCACTGAGAATTTAGATTTGGAGAGAGCGAGGTGTCTTTGTGTCTCAGAGTGTAATGACAGCTGTATGGGCAGTGCCTTAAGCACGGGAACAAACCTGGCTGGCAGGGCTGGAACCTGCTCCCAGGACCAGAGTTCCTATGTTTTGTACACTTCATTATACATTTGGGGATTAATTAGAAGTCAGTCGAATGGTTCCCTTCTTAAGTAAGTTGTATTGAGACAACCATGACCGTTTTTTCCTCAAAAGCTCTTACCCTGTAGGGTCCTGCTACACAAATGCAGCACCTCATAAAAATTGAATGGATTTGACCTCAAGCAAAAATGAAGAAAGTAATTATCCCTGTTGTGGCAAGCATGCTTGCATCAATGAACTCTGTTTTATCAGCTGTGCTAGCTAGATGAAATCCTTTATCCCTGGCAGAGGCTACAGCTGTTTTCCTGCCTCCGTTTGATCATACCCCTTGCTTTGCATTCCAGGCTTGGAACAATTAGATGAGTATTTAATTGTCTTCGGGTGAAAAAAAAAAAAAGGGATTATAAGCAAATATACTTGTTTTTCTCTTATTCTAGAGAATTTAGCAAACCTTTACTTCCTGTGGGAAGAGCCGGGGTCTTGCTTGCTGAAATCTTGCACCTTCTATGCAAACAAATGGTAAGTGTTCAGGAGTACTGTTCCTATGAGCTGGAGGCAGCAAGTATGTGTCAATGCATGAAACCGACTGCTCACATTTCCCACTCGGAGATACTTAGGGATGGGCCAGCCAGTGCAGATAACCTAGGAAAACTTGCTTCTTCATCCCCAGTTTCAAACCAAGCCTTGCGAGGTTCCAAAAAGTTGAGTTAACTTTTTTTTTCTCATCACTTTTCCCTTTTGCAGGTACCTTTGCACCTGGCTTCTTCCAGAAGCTAGAGTGCTGAAATACTGCAAGAGGGACATTCTCAAGGTATTTCTGGGCTGACCAGAAGCAGCAAGTGCCGGAAATCTTGCGAGAGAGCTGTTCTTGCAGACCGGAGAGGTTCTGAGAGTTCGGATAAGCTCCAGATGGCCTCTCAGACTTCTGGGTGCTTATCCAAACTAAACCTGCCAACTCTTAAGACTCACCCATCACTAGGGGGTAGTGACACCTTTTCACCCTGTGACTTCTAGAGCTCTCTTACACATTTCACAGTTGTGTGTCCAAACAGTTTGGTGGTTTCCCTATAACTCTGTCTCCATTTTTGTCTTTTTTTTTTTTAATCCAGCTAAATATGCACTTTGAATAGTGTCTATTTTAAATGCTGTAAAATCCTTCACTTGCCTTTTTGGTTGTTTTTAAGCATGTATTCAAATACGGGTGATTGTTCCTATAGCATTTCAGGCTAGCAGTGCAAATAGTGACGTTTTATTTCTTTTTCTGTTTGTCTTATGCTTATTTGGACAGTGATGGGGGTTTTGTTCAGTTTGTTTCTGGATTTTGTTTTTTCTCCTCTGTTCTGTGAGAGCTGCTCTGCTCTGGGGGCTGAAGGACAAGCTTGGGTTTCTGTTTCTGTCATAGCTTTATAATTCTCTTGTTAAGGCCAGTGTTTGGACTTGGTTATTTCAAGTCAAGTGTTTCCATGCAATAGCAGTCTTGTTGAATAGTCAGATCCTGATGAATGGTAGCAGGAACTACACACAATTAGCATTTAATAGTCTGTGTTGTAAATTTAAGATTGTAATCTGCTTTGTAAATGGAAAATCAAGCTGCTTTTATCAGTATTTAACTTGGGCTAAGCAGTGATCCTCCTGCGTGCAGGTGCTATGGGGTCAATGATTTTGCAAAGCCTTGGAGTGAAAAGAGCTGATTGTGTTCTTGTCAGAATTATACCCATGCTGCACTAGGCAGGCTACCAAAGGGTCAGCACAACATATGCTGCACGGTGTGTGCTACAAAAGAGATTTTCCTCAACATTTGCAACAAATTCTCAAAATGGAACGGTTGGGTACTGTGTACACAAATTGGAGGTTTGATCTGTGAACAGAAAACAGCCATGTAAATAATAATTTTCTAGAAGCAGCTAATTTGCCAGTGCCAGGGCAGGGTGGAATGTATTACGGAGGAAGTTCCTGATAGAGTCAGAAGAATCACACTCCTCTGTCTGCCAGCTCTGTTGTGGCCATGGGAAACTGTGCCTTACTCAGGCATGTCCTTTCTCATAGGTAATCTCTGGCTGAAGCTGTTGCAAACCCCACGTGTCACGTTATGCCTTGTTTATTACCCATCACCATGGCATCTAACCACTTTACAAGTTACCTATACGTGTGGCAGGATTGTGTATATGATTTCTCTTGCACGGGATTTCCAGACATTTTCACATTATTGCTAGGCATCTTGTTTGTAGCTGAATGGTTCTTTATTTCCCCTGATACAGCTGCACCACTCCAGCTTGTGTAAGCTCCCATGGTTGTCTCTCAGGCCTTTCAAATGGGCAAATTGTTTGTATTTTAGAGCCATAAGAAAGTGGGAGCCTTATGGAGGGAGACTGGCCTCAGTTGGAAGGACTACTTACCTGAAGGGGAGGATGTACATAACTTTCTCATGGAACAAGTGAGTGAAGAGCAACTCTGCTTAATGACTTTGTCATGCTGACTTGTGTATTGCATTTGTTAATCCCCTTCCAGTCCTGTTCTTGGGTGTAGTTGCTATGGGATGGAGTATCTCCAGCTCTGAAATGAGGTTATATGATTTCAATGCCTCTTCCTGAAATGCCAGCAGGTCTGGCTTCTCTGTGATCCCAGGCTTGCATGTCCCACCAGCTGGCTTCAGCCAGCAGACATATTTCTCCTAAAGAGGGGAATGAACTCAGGAATGAGTTTTGCAGCAAGCAGGACAGACTGTGCAGAAGGGTCAGAACAAATGATAGCATGTATTCACTGGTCCCACCTTGCATCGCGATCCCAGAGAGTTTCACAACAAAGAGGAACCAAGGCTGACAAAGGGCACCTTGCAGCTGGTGATTGTGCTCCTATTGAAGTACCTGGAGATCTTCTTTGGGAGCCCCAAGTGACCAACTGCCCTGCTGTGCTGCAGGAAATAAAACGGATCACCAAAGCCTGGCGATTGATGGGGGCACTGCAGATCCTCTGTGATGTTTTGCAAGAACGGGGGCATAAGCTGCAGCTTTTTTGAGCAAATTCTGGCTCTGGTAATTGCATTCCAGCTCCCTGTGGTTTTAGTTGAGCAGCATGCACTTTCTATTGTGCAGGGCTGGAGTAGTTCTGAAATGCCTGGTTGTTTTTGCTGGTTAATGAAATTCCCACTTTTGTAAAATGCTTCATAGGGTTTGGAACAGAAGAAAGTATATAAATCATTGCAGTGTTAACTTTGCATTTGAAAGATGCAGAAAACACTGAAGCGTAGCCTGCTGCCTCAACTTGGCATAACTTGATGTAGAAGAATTTATTTAACTAATCCTCATCATCACTTGTGATGTTGCAGAAGCTGGAGTTCACGGAGTCTGACTGTTCCAGTTCCTCAGAAGCACTTTCAGAGAAAGAACTCTCTGCAGAAGCGCTGAACAAGCAGCTAGAAAAACTCATTGTTGAGGACAAGGCGAATGATGAACAAATCTTCGACTGGGTAGAGGTACAAAGACTGTTTTCACCCTCCGGGCACACAGTTCATTAACTGCTTTTGTAAATATTTTCTCATCTAAAGGAGCATCTCTGCAGTCTCTCAGGTCCTCTTACATTTATACAGTGCTAGGCCTGAGGTATCTGGAAGGAAAACTGCCAGGAGTCAGCTTGTAAGATCAAGTAGCTGGAACAGAGCCCTTTCCTTGTTGCTGTTCCACTGAGGTGGGAAACTATCAGAGGCATTTACAGCTCTCACCTGTATCTTTCTGACTAGATCAGCTCAATTCAGTTAGATCTCTGCTTACAGCTTAGTCTTGGTCAGCTTCATTCCAGCTATTTCTGTTGCTGGAGGAATGGGTGAGAAACGGTATTTTCTGTGGCTGTCAGAGAGCAGAACGAAAGAAGCATGAAAATCTAAGGACACCCACAAGCTCTCTTTGTAGTCTTGGACAGTTATATAGACATTCTGTGAGCTTCTATAGAGCAGACAAGTCTCCATCCATGCAGCATTCTGTAAAATTTGTTTTAAAAGCTCACAGCAGATGTATAAGGTACTATAAACAACAAGTGTTATTGTTTTACTTTTTTTTTTTTTTTTTTAAGGCATATGATGAGCTGTGGGAGTAATTAAATGGTGCATTGATTGTAGGAGAACTTTTGTTGCATGTTGGTGTACCTGAGTTGTTTCCAAGTGAATGGGAAAGTTGAGTTTTGCACAGGGGTGAACTGGATTCCTCCTGCAGCAGCTTTTGTTGAACTTCAACTTCCTGCCAAATTCAGCAGTAGAATTTGGAAACGATTCCTCTTAGGCACTGGCATGTTTTTAACTGGTCCATTTATTCTTGATTTCAGGCTAATCTAGACGAAAGCCAGATGAGTTCACCTACATTCCTTAGAGCTTTAATGACAGCAGTTTGTAAAGCAGCTATTATAGGTGAGTAACTTGCAATGTAAACACCATACCAACTGACCTTGCGAGGAGTTAGTATATATTAATTTTTCACGTTTATATCACTTTTTTCTCCCCTCTGAAACTGCTTTTTATCATGCAAGATTTTTGAACCCTATTGAATTCTAGTGTTTAAGAGCAGAACGTCCATTCCTCTGCAGTGGCCAGGTGCTTCCTTGGTTGTGGTGTGCTCAGGCGTGGCCAGTGACCTTGCATGAGCAGACATTTCAGGTGACTTTGAGTAATGCTGGATTGTTCATTGATTTTTCTAGTGAAGTGGAAATGCTCTAGACATTACTAAGGTAATTAGCATTTCTACTCCTTTGTCAGCAACCTTGCATGGGCACTCAACCATCACAGATCACAGAATCACAGAAACACCAAGGTTGGAAAAGACCTACAAGATCATCCAGTCCACCTATCACCAATAGCTCTCACTAATCCATGTCCGTCAACACAAGATCCAAATGTTCCTTGAACACCTTCAGGGTCAGTGACTCCACCCCCTTCCTGTGCAGCTCATTCCAGAGCCCAACCTCTCTTTCGGAAAAGTAGTACTTCATAACCTCAAGCCTAGATCTCCCCTGGTGCAGCTTGAAGCCATTCTCTCTAGTTCTGTCACTGTTACACGAGGGAAGAGGCCAACCCCCAGCTCACTACAACCTCTCTTCAGGTAGTTATAGAGATCAGTAAGGTCTCCCCTGAGATTGCCATGTGTGAGTTGGAAACGTGGGTTTCAGAACAGACGCCAGCTTGTATCACTATCTTAATAATAGTTTTATGTCCTAAGCGTGTTGTGTTTTCAGAAGTACAGTTTATATGGGTTGTTTGAAGGTACAGCAATTGCAGTGTATGGTTTGAAATGGAGGAGGCGGATTCATAAGTCAGACACATGAGCCTCAGCCTCGCAGGGGTGCTCTGCGGACTGGTCAGTTCACATTGTTTACTTTAATTTTACTCTTGGTATCTGGTAAGGCAAAAACTGTGTTTATAAAGCACCCACTTCTGCTCTAAGCTATAAGAATCATGGCTCAGCAGAGAGAATGGGCTGCACTTCACCTTCTCACTGTAAGGCTGTGAGTGGAAAAGCACAGCCCAGCGCCTTTCTTCTATGAGAGCAGAACCTTTCTGATGCCACCTAGTGTTAGTGGGGAAATGATGCAAGATTTTATGACAGGTGTTGGAGAGTTAGGAATCTTTGCTGGGAGTGTATCAAAAATGTCTTCTGTTCTGCTTTTTGGCCTTGCTTCTAATAGAGGGTTTTTTCCTTTGTTTTCAAAAAGATCACTGAATTGTGTTGTCTGTCTACTTGTAAAACTGCTAATGTATCTGTGTTGCTGATGGACTTCTAACATGTATTTTTGCATGTTCGTGATCTCCAGTGTCATGTGCAGCTGGTGATTCTGTTTATGCTTTAGTATTTTTAGGGGAAAAAAAACAAACTAAAACCCTTCTATGTAGCTGAAATTTTGGCTCTAGCATTGTTTGAACATCGAGCTGCCTGAGTTGTGCTGCACAATTCAGATGAAGCAGGCTGGTTAGGATCACTACAGATAGCAGCTGCCTTTGGGGAACTGTAAGAATCAAGACTTCCAGAAAAAGCCAGTGATCAGAAATACTTCTTATTTATTCTTATCCTTTTGTCTCTTTCCATGCTAACCAGTATCAATGATTTCTGTTTGAATAAAGATGATAAAAGATTTACTCCTGCTGCCATCTACCACAGCTGACCCTATTTTCTTCTCTTCCCTTCAGCGGACTCTTCTAGCTTCCGTGTGGACACTGCTGTTATCAAACAGAGAGTGCCGATCTTACTCAAGTACCTAGACTCAGACACAGAGAAGGAACTACAAGCACTTTATGCACTACAAGCATCAATAGTAAAACTTGATCAGCCTCCCAGTAAGTGTTGTCTGTGTACTGGGGATTTAAGCCCTTGACAGCCTAACAAAGAGTTGCTTCTGCTACAGTCTGGCAGTAGAGTCTGGAAAGAAGTGGTTTTCCTGACAACGAAAACAAAATTTTACCTCTGTACATGGCAAATGAGATAACGCAGTGTACAGTCTTTCTGCTTGTCCAGATTCCAGCTTTTAGTCAAGTGCAGCTCCCCAAATCCTTGGTCAGAGGTGGGCTCTTCTCTTGCTTGCTCCTGTAACCAGCTGTGCAGAAGAAAAAACAAATCTCTGTAATGCAAAGAGGACAAAAAAAAACAGTAGAAGGTTAACCCTTATCTGGAGGGAGCTGCCTTTACCCTCAGCTGTGTCTGAGTGGCCAGGAAGCAATAACTCAGGGGCAGGTCTTCCTTTTACTTGTGTCTCCTGCATTAAAGGCCTCATTAATCCTCTTATCCGTAACCGCGTCTTTGTCTGCTGGCTTCAGCTACACTGTACTAACAGATGTTCTCTCCCCTGATTCCATTATTGCAGATTTGTTGCGGATGTTTTTCGATTGCCTGTATGATGAGGAGGTAATATCAGAGGATGCCTTCTACAAGTGGGAAAGCAGCAAGGACCCAGCAGAGCAGAACGGGAAAGGAGTAGCACTGAAATCTGTCACAGCATTCTTCACATGGCTACGGGAGGCCGAAGAGGAGTCGGAGGATAATTAAAACTTAAAATACAGGAAAAACAAAAACAAAAACACACACAAAAAAAAAACAATTTAAGTATTTTTTTAAAAAGTTTCACGTCTTCGCCAATCACAGTGCAGCAAGGCCAATTCTCGCGCAGACCCCCTTCCCCCACACATGCACGAGTGGGAGAGGTAACAAATAGATAAACACAAAGGTGATCATGGAGGAAAAAAAAAGGTACTTGAAAAAACAGTAAACTTCAAACCTGGCGGGAGCACTAAACCAAAATACATGTATTATTTATAGAAAATATTTTCTGTTTTAATCTTTTTTTTTCTTTTCTTTTTAAACGAGGACTCAAATACACAAAGCAAAACAAACCTGTTTAGCAAAAAAAAAAAAAGTTTAAAACTTTTAATTTATTATTTTAAGGACTGCAAATGCCAGTGTAATTTTTAAATTTGCAGTTTCTGTAAACAAATTGTATAATAGAACAAGAGCAGAGAAATAAATTTCCCTCCCCTTCGTATGCACCTCAGTTTTGTTTCAAAGCATGATAAATAGACAAAACTTTTCAAGGGGGTTGGGGTAAGCTAGATGAGGAAGAGATCCTTTTTTTTTTTTGTAATTGTCATCAGATTTTTCTGCCTGCCTCTCAGCTTGCTTCAGAAATGTAACAGAATGTAGTACATAACCTTGGATCGGAAGGAAGTGAATTTGAGAAAATGGCTGCGGACCAGAGTGCTCCAAAAATAACTCATTCAAAACAGTGCTACCCTGGGGGAAAAAAAGTACTAGTGATACCTTCAGAACCCTTAGAGCAACTTTAAGGCTTGTAAATACATAGAACAAATATTTAAAAAAAAAAAAAAAAAGAAAAAAGAAAAAAGAAATTGACTCAGATACTATTTCTTTTCACTTTCAAAATATAAAGAACAAAATAAAGACAAACATTGCAAGTTTAAAAGAAAGTAAAACGACTTCTCCTTTGACAGCTGCTGAATGTGTGCACCATCTCAGCGGTGCTGTCTTCCTTTTCATTGTTCATACGTCAGTTCCAAATTGTGTACATAGAGTGTGCGTACGTATGTGTGTCAACCAAAAAGAGGGGTGAGAGCAATTGTTTTTACAGCAACAACTAAAAGGTGGGGGGTTGCTGCGTGGGAGACTTCTTCTGCAGAGAGAACTTAATGGCCAACAGCAGCTGGCTGCTCGCAGCATGTTGCTGTGAGGCTGCAGGCAGGGCTGTGCCTGTTCTGCAGCCGTGTGAGCGCAGTGCCTCGTGCTGCTCAGAGCAGAGGTGTTGTGCTGGGGACCTATGACACAGCGACTGTGGAGGTTGCAGCTGTTGGAGCAGAGAACCCCGATAGCCCTTCTGCGTGGCTTGTGCATCTGTTGCTGCCCAGCTTCCAGCACACCTGCTGGCTGCCCTGATATTCGTTAGAAACCCAAAAACCCAGAAGGGTGAAAAGGAACGCGACCTATGAGAGCCAAGAGGTGGAAGAAGCGCAGCGAGCGACGCGGTGCTCTTCCCAGCCCTGCCCACCCCATGAGGTGCCTGCTCACCAAGTGCTAACTGAGCTGCTGCTGAGTGCATTAAGTCTCCTGGCTGTCTCTCATCAACAACCAAAGATGACCTGCTGGCTCTCACCGTGAAGAAACATCTGCTGTCATCGAGTTTGTGAAGCCCTGAAATGGAGTTTGTGAACTGTGGTCCGTGGACCGCGAGTAACCTGTGGAGCATTTGCTGGTGGTCTGTGCAGCGCTAGCTGCTCACGTGATGCTGTCTTTTTTTTCTTTCCAGCTGCTAAACCACTTCTTTTTAATCTTAAAAAAAAAAAAAAAAAAAAGAAGGAAAAAGAAAAGGAAAAAAAGAAAAAAAAAAAGGCAAAAACTGCATTAAATACTTTCCTAATCTTACTTTTACATGTAAACAATTGCTGTACTTACATAAGGATGTTAGTTGATCACCAAGGGGAAGGGAGGAGGGTAGCTGGTTGTGGCTGGAGGGGGAGATGTCTGTGTGACACCTTCCCTGTCGATGTGTGTTCCATGCCATGCGTCTGAGCTAGAGAATCCATGGCCTAAAACACTAGAGCATTGTTTGGTTCTTTTTTTTTTTTTTTTTTTTTTTTTTTTAATTAACAATAAAACACTTTTTTCTGATGTTTTGTTAAAAAAAAAATGAAAAAAAGAAAAAAAAAAACTTCTCACCCTTAATATATGCATATGTATGTACCTGCTTGTATGACACCCAGCAATTCCTCATCCACAGCTACTTCCCTCCCCACCTCCAGCCTTGGGCTCACCGTTCCATGACAGTTTGCTTGGGTTTGGTTTGTAAAGCTGTGGGTTGTGTGTGTGCTCTTCTTGCAAAAATTAATTTTTGAGCCTGAAGAAGAGTGGGTAAGTGGTGGTTTGTAGCAGTGAAATAGTTCAGTTAAGAAGATGCGAGTTTGTGTATAAATTAGGCCAAATATTTGCTAAGTTGTGCAGCACTCATACCTGATGAATTGGTGGGCAGTGTTCAGGTCCTGCTGGGAATGTGTGTGTCCTACGTCAGAGCCGCCGTGTGCCACTACATGAGGTCTGTAATTTGTGCGTTGATTGCCTTGAATCAGAAAAGGTAGAAATTGCTAGAGCCTTTGAACATTCATGTGAATCCGAGTGTGCAAGGCCCGGGATGTTGGAGAGCTTGAATCTTCAGACTGAAGGAGCTGGAAAACCACTGGTTGGAAGGAAGGGGATCAGTGAGCACGTGGGTAGAGGAGAAAAGTCTCTTCCCTCCTTGTTTGAGCCTTTAATGGTAAATGTCTGTAGGGAGTGGGAACTGGCCTTGTTATTGCCTTGCGGCAGGAAGGAAAGTTTCAGCGATTTTAAGAATGTTTTCAGAATTACCCAAAGGCTCTGAAAAGGTGTGTTTGCAACACAGGAATTTTCACATCCTCTTAAGCTAGAGGAATAAAGCTGTACATGGAGTGATGTGAGAAGTTTATACACTAGACAGAGGCTTCCAGCAGTGGATACGTTGCCTTGAGGCAACTTCCTACAAATGTCATCAGATCTGATACCAACCTGGGACCAAAATTGCTTCCTCTGCCCGCCTTGCTCTGTTTGCCACATGCTGCTTGCTTACCTGCAGGCTGCAGCTGTTTTTCAGTCACCTTATAAATCTGCACGGATTTCAGGATGTAGCCAGTAGTCCATGAAGATCTTTGCAACACACCCTCCCTGTAGGCGTTAAAAGAGAAAAACTGTAAGAGATGCATGAAACAGAAAAGAGGATAATTAAATCATGAGAAGTTTTCTTCTCGTGATTGATTTGCAGAAACCTCATTCCACATACATGCATGTTGTTATTGTTGCCTATTGATACAGCAAGGTGTAAGCAGGGAGGACAGCAGATATCCCCTAATAATACTAAATGTTTGTGGTTTGTTTTCTTTTCCCTTTCAGACTTGGTCCTACAAAGCATTTAAACACTTTGTCTGGGCAGGCTCATGAACATGGCAGGGAGTTAATGCAGCTCAGCAGGAAAGAGCTGCATTAAAAGCCATTTCCACTGCTGGGAGCCCTTCTTGTGCTGTGTGCTATCAAAGGCACAGGCGAGGAGGAGCAGATGCATCACTTATGTCTCTGTTTGTCTTCATTGCTGAAAATGTCCCTAAAACTGAAGCAGTCAAAGTATCCGGGCAAGGTGTTTGCCCAAGGCTGGTTTCTTTCTAGGAAAGTGTTTCCAGGACTGCATCAGCAATTTCTAGGAACAAGGTGAGGGAATACACAGATAACAGACCTTGTAGTGTCTTCTTGTGTTAACAAGTTTCAGTTTTTAGCTTTGTTTTCTGAAGAAGCAGACTTAAGTGTGCAGCTCTGCCTTTTGCTTTCTGCCTGTAAAACTGCCCAAATCTGGCTGCATTTAGCTGTGCCCTGCGTGCATTGGAGCCAAGGAGCCCAAGGTGCTCCTGAGCCACCTGGGTTATGGCACGGAGCTACTCACGGTCACACCTGAGTGCTTTCCATTTTTAAATGAGGGAGCAGCTCCCAAAAGCTTGTGACAGGGGTGCAGGTACTCTGCAAGTGAGAATTGTCATGAGAACAGCCACAGCCCAGACTCTTAGTGCAGGTGTAGGGGGACGTGGTTGTGACTTTTGCCCAGGACCAGCACTCCGTGGTGCAGGAGCTGGTAGCTAAAGGCTCACAGAAAGAGATTTGGGAAAAGGGATTTGGCAGTAGAGGTGGTTTCCAGCATGCACAACGCAGATTTAAGCTAATAGCAACTTACCAGTCTGCTGCATCCCTGTGACCCAGAGCTTTTGTTTCTAAACTACAGGTCATTTCTTCTGAGAAGGATAAAGAAAACCTTGCTGAGCTTCCTTAAAACCAATTGCAGATGTTGGCATCTGATTGCCAAAAGGGTGGCTGTGATTGTTCCTGTATGTTCCTGTTCCAACATGAGCTTTTTTGCAGATAAAGGGACCTGAAGCTGGTTGGTTTGTCTGAAGCATTCAGTGTAGAGCAGAACAGTTAGTACAGCTGTGCCTCTGGCACCAGTCACTTGCATTTGATTTGTTTCACAGATTTGAAAGGGTTCAGCTTTGCAGACAGCAAGTTCAAAACCAGACACGCACACCCAGAACACTTTTGTGCCCTCACAGCTTTCCTAAAGATCACGCCAGGGAACTGGTGATAACTGCAGAGCAGCCGCAAGATGCTCAGCTCCCTTTAGGTGAGGTGGCTGTTGTCTAGAGGTAGATGTGCTGGTGGTGAGGTCTGTGAGGTGGAAGTCTGGTCAGGGCTGCTGAGGAGGAAGCACAGGGCAGAAGGTCAAACTAGCAAGCACTGAGCTCCCACATGACATGCTTGGTCTGGCAGGGAGATCTTGGCCTTTCTGCTCTTTAGAAGATGTTGGCTCTGCTGCTATGTGACCCTCGGCAAACTGAGCAGCACCTCCAGCCAAACAACATCAGCAGAAGTGCCAGCTCTTCACCTGCAACTTTCTTTTAATAAGGTGCTAACTCAGGGGTGTGTGAGAGGCCATGTGCTGATAGAAACCCCCAGCAATGCTCTGATGTACCAAGGGCCACATGCACACTGGAGCAACCGTAGGATGGAGCCTGAGGCTGAAGACTCCAGGGCTGCACGGCTGCTCGTCACTCGAGTGCCTCAGATAGATTATCCTCAAGGAGCTATGGCAGGAGAAGCATGGCGATAGACAAGCAACTGCAGCAAGTGAGAGACTGATCAGCCCACTCAGCTTCCATGAGCATGACTAAACCCTCGCACATACCTGAAGAAACTTCAATAGAAGTTTTCTACTCCTGTATTTTCCGTGAGGCTCTGCATACTGCCTACCCTAACAATCATGGAATTG